TGATATTATAAGAACACCAATTATTGTACAGTATATGTAAGAAGCTCTAACCCCATTTTTAAACCAAGCTCTTGTTTAGCAGGTTTTAGGAACACTTGCAGATGTGAATTCTGATGGCTCTCTACCGGACCTGTAGGAATGCAAAGGCTGCCACCTTGTGGTAAAAATAAACATGTAAAAACAGCACTGCAAAGCAAGGTTCTACAGGCAAAATGAACTATGTACAGAAATCCGGCAGCAAATTGAGTCCTGGCTTGATCCTACATGTATAATTTCAACCACAGCACCACAAGCCGACCTGTGTCAGAGAGACAGCCTGTCCTTGAGACAGCACTGGAAAAGAAGGCAAACAACTAATTCCTAACTAATTCCACACCTGAAGAAGGCTCCACGGCCGGAACGTTGTGTTCTCTTTCTTCTTTTTTTCAGCATGGAATAAACCTATTACTTGTTCCTTTGCAGCCTACTCATGCTGACGCAGCTACCCAGCTGAACTAATTCCTTATTACATAGGGCTTTTCCAGAAACTCCACTCAAAACACTTTACAGCCCCTACCTGGATGATGCATCTGTACGCTCACCAAACATCAGCTACAAGTGGGGAGGAGAACAGAGTGATGAAGCCAGTTCAGAGATGGGGATAATTAGGAAGCCATGATTGGTAAAGTAACTTTGGCCAGGACACTGGAATAACACCCCAAGTCTTTTTGAGAAACTTTAGGATTTTTAAAGACCCCAGAGAGTCAGGACCTCGGTTTTTAAGTCTCATCCAAAGAAAGGCACCTTTTTGTTTTACTAAATATGATTTTATATTACCTTTTTTACTTATCATCACTATACTGGGACATTAGATCTCACACAGACTGCAGGGTGAGCACCCCGTACTGGTCCCACTAACACCTCTTCCAACAGCAACCTTAGGTTTCCCAGGAGGTCTCCCATCCATGTACTGGCCAGGCTCACACCTGCTGAGCTTCAGTGGGCTACTAGTTGTGAGTTACAGGGTGATACAGCTGCTTGCTATAACAATATACTGTTTACAAGATTCTAAACATTGCTATGCTGGCAGCCATGTTCAGAACCAACTTGGTCAGGTGTTTTGCATTTGCAAGCAATGTGTACAAGGCTAAAGACCATTTTACCCAATTAACTTGCTAAGTTTAGAGTAACCAGTCTCAAAAAGCCATGCTGTGAAAAAATCCTTAGCCATATTAAATTCAGAACTGCAGGATGTTCCTGTAGCTGGACAGAGCAACCCCTTCAAGGAGTTTCTAAACTCTCCAGTCTGGTTAGCCTGCAGCAGGAGCCTGCAGTGGGGTAACCTACGTTTTTCAAATTTACGAGCTTTATTTGCACGACCAATAAATCACAGTGTTGTCACAGCCATAACAATGAGCAGAACATTTACAAACATCTGCAACAACATATTATTATTAGATTCACATTCAAAGAGCTTGTTATTGACATGACAGATGAATTGAAGTGTTGCCAAAGCAAAAACAATTAACCGAACACTTCCAGACTCTTAAAGCAAATGACAATTTACAAATGACATTTACAGACATTATATTATTATCTGAAAGGTAGTGTACACTCTGTGTTCCTGAGGCTGTAACAGGAGATCACATACTGGGCCACAGCTCTGTTAAATTTACAACCCCGTAACAGGGTAGGATTGATAGCTGTTATTCTGGCAGATGTGATGATATACTGGAATTTGATCTTATTTTAGTGACCAATCCTTTAGTGTCTTTTACACTGTATGAGAATATCTGCGTCTCCCTGCTGGCAGTGTATGAGTAGCCAATCCTGCCTGTATTGTCCAGTTTCTATGGCCAGGGTGTGGTCACTGAGCCTGCATTTAATTAGGGTCTGCATCTTCGTGTTGTCTCTCACCCTGGTCAGATACTGGACCATTATATACTTTTTAGGGCCCAGAACAATCCCAGCACTGGGTTTAATCTCTGCTTCCCAACACCATTGATCTTGTTTCGTTTCCCCCACTCAGTTTGAATTATAGTTTAGAGGGGTCAGTTGCTCATGAAAGAATCTTATCTTTGAGTGGCCACTCCATCTCCACACGCTAGGTGTATAAAATAAAAAAGCCACTTGAAAATGCACCCAAATTCAGCAGTTCCCCAAATAAAGCCCTGCTGTTTCACAGTCTCTCTGCTGGACAATGAGACATGAGTCTGCTGCTTATCAATGCTTTTGTGCACAAATTACTTTTCCAGCAGCTGTTGCCTGCGTTGCAAACTGCAGCTGAGGTTAGTTACATTTATTTCACTTATCTGACATTCTAATACCACACTTGTATGTTACACTTGTACTGTTGTAACCCCACTGCGTGAGGGGTTTGGGGATGAGGTGCTTCTCCCTCTTAAGATATGCAATAAAATGCAAAAATGGAACAATCAGATGATCGAGTGATGAATCGGCTGGCATGGTGTGGCCCATTGTTCCTGCAGGAGCAGAAGAAATGGCTACTGAGATTAGCCGCCCAGGGCCAGAAGTTACTGTGCCGCTCCTGAAGTACAGTACAGTAGAGCATCAGTTGTCAGTGGTCCAGCTTTTGCACATCTCAGTGAAGACAAGGGTTGTTCTTCCTCACACAGAGGGGCCATTGTGGGGCTGGTCCTCAGCACCAGTTCTGTCTGTGGAGGGAGAAAACAGCTCCACACCCAGAGCCCTCACAGTGCGGCCATTGTCCCTCTGTTGTCATAATTCGGCAATGCCAGGAGCATCTGTGTGGCTTCAGAACTCTCTTGTTTGCTCGTTATTTTATCTTTTTATGATGGCCAATTGGTCCAAAACGTTGAATCGCGCTTCCGGTTGCGCCGGTGCGCCGCTGTGACCTGTGGTCAGGTGGGACACGGACACCAGCAGTCTAGGTGATGGACAGCTGCTGTCAGAGTCCAGTGGAGGCCTGACCAAAGCCAAGAGGGGGCTGTTGAGATGGAGGAGCTTTTTTCTCAAGGATGCTTTGAAGGGCTTCTCTTCAAATGCAAGCCGAACAATAAACAAAGATTTCTGGGCTTGGGGGACTCCGGAGACACTGAGAGAGAGCCAGTGTGGGGTGCTTGAGCACTGACAGTATGCTGGTGTCAGACACTGGTGAGCTTTTTTCAGCCTTCATCAGGGGCCAGAATATGTCTCTCAATGCAGGAGTTGTCACCTGCAGAGCCCACTCCACACAATACAAATTAACTACTAACTACCAAATGGTCTCCTCTCAGTTGTAACCATTGTAATATTCTTAGTGCTGGTTTATGTACAAGGACCCCTCAGTAATGTCTGACAGCTCTTGTGAGATAGGAGTCTAACATTCTTCTCTGTTATAAAATGCATTCTATAAAAATACTTGATTCCAAAAACTGAATTTCAGGAGTCGGTGATTAAGATTGTCTTGCTAAGATTGCTGAGGTTTTACTTGTTTGTTATTTTAGTTACTTGCTTTTTGGTGTGTTTTCCCTTATCATCAATATTTTTGTGAATAAGTTGTGTATCTCGTTGACAGATATCAGAAGCCAGTTTGACAGAGCAGTGTCTTTTTTGATTGGTTTTGTCCTGGGGTGCTGTTGTTCAGTCATATGCTGTTTAAGGGCTAATGAAATAAATCGGAACTGCATAAGTACAGCACTCAAGGTCACAGCGCAAGGTCAGAGTTATCCCTTTACATCATGAACATCTTAAAACCAGTAACAGATATACTAACCTTGGTCTATAAGAGGCAACAGATACTGCCATTAGGTAATTAAGGATTAATGAAGAATAAAAACTAGGCCCAAATGGGATCCACCATCTCTTATTTGGATAAGTACTGAAGAACAAACTGCAGTGGAGAAGATAACTCTTCAGGATGCAGGAACACATAAAATCTTCAGCTTTATTAGCTGCAGCTGTTGCAGAGGCATCTTAACTGCTTTTAACCCCCAGCTTTGCTTGGAGAGAGAACTATCCAGCAAACTGCCTCTGGACAGCTTTACGATGTGTTTGAGTTCAACAGAAATGTGTGTTATTAACTTCCTTGACACATTAAAATAACATATGCATTTCTCATTTACCTCAATTCCTGCTAAAGCTGGGTTTCCTAAGGTGAGGAAGGGGGTTGTTTGGGAATCTTCCAGCTCCTCTGACCTGACCTCTGACCTTCCCTGGCCTATGTTTTGACATCCAGACATGCTAGTTTCTGCTGTCTGTCTGGGTCTCTCAGTCCTCCTTCATTCTTTTTCTCAGGCAAGGCATATGTTTGTACCCTGTAATTCAGGTTTAACCCTCTGACTACCAAACCTCTTCACAGTTCATTCGGTGAAAAGCCAGATATTTAGACTCAACCACAACTACCCATCCTTTGGCCCTGCCAGTCGATAGCAGAGTTTTTCCCCAAGAGCTCTAATTGAATTGATAGTCAGGAGGATAAATATAACAACTAAGATGCTGAATGAAACAAAACTGTGCAATGGAGGGTAGGGTTAGAGTCTGGACATCAGCCTGTGATGTTTTTACCCAGTGTGTGGGGGAAAACACAGAGCTCTTTCCACTACAACACCACAACACAATAATGAGAAATGATTCATTAAACTCTCTGAATGGTGTCTGTGGATTTTTAAAGTTCTTTCCCAACTCAGAACAGTGTTTTGGCTCTTCACACACAAAAAAATACCAGGAGAGGTACAGAAAAACAAGCTACCACACATCTGTGTGATGTGCCATCGGTTTTTCAAACGACATGTTCAATCAATTAGTATGATCACGTAAACTGAGACATAAAAGAAACATTAGGCAGGAAACTATCAGAAACTGGTTTTGCAAAACGGTCTATTTTAATTCAGAAACCACCCAGACAAAACACAGAGATGCGTGGGCTGCAATTGAAATTCCGATACAGGAATGTTTTCATCGCGCGTGATTAGACTACCGTATCAGTTTAAAGCTGTCAGGTGGAAAGGGGATAGACGATGTTGCTCCATACTCCTGAAGAATTGGTCAAACTTGACGGGCCCGGCGGGAGACCTTGACCTCTGCATTGTGCTAGCGTCTCAATTGTCGGACAGCGGCCCGTTAGACCCAGGCAGCCTTGGGGAAAAAGGGACATTGTGTCTTTAAAGTTCGGGCTCACAGTGTGCAGCGGGTTTGTTCATTGTTGGGAAGTCAGAGGAGCGAAGTGAGATTGATAAAGGGGAGCGGGACACGGTCTGTGCACATCACAGAGCAACAGGCTTACAGAGAGCAGCTGTGCACAAATAAACCTCCACATCTCCCAGACATGGGTAAGTGAACGGTAGCGGATTGGCTTACATGCTCTTCAGATGCAGTCAGATTTCTTTGACTTTTTGCCTTTCACGCATAGTTCTGTTAAGACAATATTTCGTTGGATGCGTTTTAAAATGCTGCACAGCAATCATTCCCGGCTTGATCTCCAGTTCAAGTCTGCGTTGGTGTCACAGGTGGCCGGATATGTTGTGCGGGAACTTGATTGTTACCGAGTCTAAAAGTTTGAGACAAACAGAAATGTTTGACATTAACCCCCGCAGTGTTGGCCAGATTAAAATGGACTCTGGGGATCTTAAATCTCGATTTAGATTTTTTTTCGTACCCTTTCAGGGATATTTTAGAAACACGTTTCATTTGCAAAAAGTTGTGGTGGGACTCGACAGTTTTTTTTTTTAATTGTGTGAAGTTCTCACACTAGCTAGGCGGCGCACCTCGGCGGTCTGTAAGTGCTCAGTGCCAGGTTCAATCCGGCACTTCAGGTGTTATTTGTCAAATGAAGCAGAAACCGGTAGTTTCTCCCCTCGAAAAAGACTGGACTACCGTACGCAGAAAGAATGTTCTGCATTTTTCCTGGTGATGTAGGAATTTGAAAAGCAGCGGTATTTAAACAGCACCCAGGAAGTCTGTCTAGAACACAAAATACCTGACCGTGAATACTGTAAATATTCCTAAATGTTAATTGAAGACTACTGCTCTGTGTTATATCCTTCTACAGATTTCAATGGTGTATTTTAGGGTCTAACCTTAGGCAGCGCACTGCCATTACTTTTTTTTACTTTTCATTTTAATTTAGTTTTGTACACTGTATTGTTTGATTTGGTTTAATACTTCTGCCAACTTAATACTTCATCGCTCTTCGAGATGTCACGTTGCGCCGAAAAACCAAAAATGCCGTGTACACGGAAAATGTCATCTTTACACTCCATTCACAAACGACAGAAGCTGCGTGGTAGAGACAATGAATTAGCTTAGGATGTTGACACAGGTTGTGCCTTCACACAAATTCAACTCGGTGATACTGAAGTGATAACGGGTTTTCTTCGGCTCTCGTACTGATTTTGTTTTCTGGAACACTTTGCAAAATACAAATTGTTAACAGATGGTGAAAACGAACCAAGTAGCTCCCAGAAAATATGAACTTTTAACATCCTAAATAAAACGATACCGACCCTGCAGTAAATGACTAAATAGCTGCTCGGATCAAGGCCGTTTCTGCTTTCTGGAACCGAAGCTGAGGAACAGTTGCTTATCGATTGCTGTGATGTGTCGTTTTGTAGACAAAAAGAAAAAGGCCATTTAACGTGATGTCTCGTGATTTATGGTTTATCCAGGGGTAGCCCGTGTGCAGACAAATCTGTAAAATGTACTTTTGTGTGAGCTGTTGATCATCACCAGCCTGGACAAGCTGATTCGTTGAGACAGTTCGGTACTGGGGTCTGGGTGCTCTAACTCTAGGAGTTTGGTGAAGTGCCTGTGCAAAAGAGTTTGATCAGTTTCACGCAGGTTACAGTACAAATGACTGAACAGATTCCAGTATAAGTCAACAGGTGAAAGGTGCTGGCTATTCTAAAGGTCAGTATCTCATTTTGAATCAACACAAGCAAATGTTTAATGCTTTTTTGCTGTACTGTATCAAGACAATATGCACAAAAGCATACAGGTAGTAAACTCTGAACCGGATCACATTGCTGCACAGGTGGTATCTAATGTGAGCGTCCTGTGGCCTGTCCTGGGTCTTGTGTCTCTGGTAGTTGTGAAAAGGGTTTGGGCACAGTGTGTGTCATTTCTAGGCCCAAAGTTCTGTAGGAGAGGCTGCTTGCAGGAACAATAGGTTTCAAACCAGGTTAGGAAATCCAATGACTTCCTAGACCTTCCTATAAATCCTATAGGATTTCCTATAAATCCAATAACCGTCTATTATAATGACATGTAACTTTGGAGTTCGGAAGCCGCTGGGTTGATTTGGGGAAAGTGTCAATATTCTGGTGCTTTTTTTCTCTCCCACGAAAATAAGGACTGAAACTGTAATGACCTCAGTGAGAACCCTCACCCCCCCCTCCCAGCCTCACTGTAGATGCGCTTAGCCTTCTGAATACAATTGACCATGTCTCCTACTGGCATGGCTGGTGCCAACTGTAGTGGTACCAGTCTCAGCCTGTCAGTACCCCCAGGCGGTGCTGCCAATGATGTGGCCAGTCCGGCAGCCCGGGTCGCAGTGCGAGAGGGAGTCGACCCCCCCCCCGCCCCCCCCTCCTTGAACTCTGAAAGGGCTGTTTGTTGGGTTATTTCGGGCAGGGAGGGGGGACAGCTCTTTTCAGCCCCTGCTCTTTGTTTACTTGACATCACCGGCCTTTGTTCACCCACACTGGGTTCAGACAAGGGCCATTGTCTCTCACACCACAAAGGGGGCCTCTTTCGCAGGCCCGAGTAGCCTCCTCCTCCTCCTCCCCCCCTTTTTTTCTCACCCCTTCTTGTCTCAACATGTGTTTACACCGTCAGCTCTGAGATGGATTGGTAGAGTCTGGCCTCCAGGTCAGTAGGTCTACCTGGCTCCAGGTGCAGAACACCTGGCTTTAGTGATGTAGTCATGAGCCCGGTGAGCAGCAGATTTCTGGTGATCCCAGACCTGAGCATTCAGACACAGACTCAAGTGAACTACAGTCTCCTGGCCAGATCCCAGCACTGCAATATTCATGCTGGAGAACGCCGAAACACTAATTGAATTAATGAGCTCACTGCTCGGTTGTGCCACATGAATAGAATCAATGACAACATTTTGGAGTTTCTCTGCATGCAATAACTCTGAATGTGAATATGCAAATGTAGCACCCCGTCCTGCTGAGGTTTCCCAGAGCCATTTCCGATCCTGTGAGCTGGGTGCACTGCAGATAAAATCAGCTGTGTGTTAGTTTTCTAAGAGATGCACACTTTAATTTGATTTAAAGGAGTTTTGGGTTTAAGCATCCCTGCTGTTGACTAGAAGGGTATTTTGTAGGGCAGGAACACATTGGCTGAAGACTGTAGCTCCAGACATTACCTTAGGACCACCACCCAAACAAACCTACCAGATGTTATTTTTGTACAAAAGACGACATAAGTAACTGGTTGTCATTCTTGCATATTTTGTACCTGCCCTAGTATAGTGTATTATAATCCCATGATCCATGAGAACCTAGTGAGGTTCATATGTATGGCACTCTCTCTCGCATTTCATGGGGGTGATCTGTGAAGATTTCAGGACGCACCCCCTGTCTCTCTCATCTCGTCCTCTGGAGTATGGTGTGTTCTTGTCCGAGCCATCAGCAGCTGCCACCCAGAGTATGCTTGCGCCCTGCGCCAATCGAAAACATTTGGACTGCCTTCAACTGTCCTGACCACATTTTCCAGGTGCGCTATTGAGAGTGTGCGTACATGTGGAATTACAGTGTGGTTTGGCAGCCGCTCGCTGTCTGACCGGAGAGCATTACAGGGGGTGATCAGGTCAGCCCAGACCATCATCTGAGTACAGCTCCGCTCGTTTTCAGACATTTTTACAGCTCGCTGCTTCAGGAAGCCTGGAAGTATCGTTAAGGACCCCAGTCATTCTGGTTCCTCACTTTTCTCCCCCCTTCCCTCTGGTCAGCGTTATAGGAGTATAAAGGCACGAACGACCAGACTCTGAGACAACTTCTTCCCACAAACTGTCAGATTACTGAGCTCTACCCTTATCACTGGCTTGCACTGAGGGGTTTTTTTTCTCTAAGATGTATGTTATTTAACTTGTTGTTGCTGCCGCTGTTCTGTGTTTTTGTGTTTAGTGTTTTCTCGATATCTTTGCATAGGAGCACACAGGCAAAGACAGTTAGATACTTTATTGATCCCATGAGGGAAATTGCAGTGCACTAAGAAGAGATACTTACAGTCCAGAACACACAAAGAACAAACCAGAATAGAACAGTACACAAAAAAGTCGTATTGCACAATATGACTATAAATATAAATGTATTGCACAGGTCCCTAGCATATATTGCACAAAAACGGTTTTAAACCGGAAAAGAAAAAGAACAGATGTATCAGTTTACTGTTCAGTCCAGAAACGGGTCACTGTCAATGTTGCCTCTGCCCAGACGCCAGGTGGATGCGTTGTACAGTCTTATGGCAGAAGGCAGGAATGACCTCCTGTAGCGCTCCCTGTCGCACCGTGGATGAATCAGTCTATTGCTGATCGTGCTCTTCATTTCTACAAGCCTGTCATAGAGGGGATGGGAGATGTTGTCCATGATGGTCTCTAGTTTGGACACCATTCTCCTCTCAGCCAAGCGTTTCATTGTGCTCATGCATCTGACAGTAAGCTTTGCCCTGCTGTCGGATTCTCAGTGCCCCGTGATGCGCTGTTGTTAGCAGGCTGCTACGAGTGCTGCGTGCGCTGCCTGGGCGGAATCCCCTACACCTCGCTCCTGGCCACCCTGCTGTGTTTCTCGGGCATCGCCCTGTTCTGTGGCTGCGGGCACCAGGCGCTGACGGAGACGGAGAGGATCATCGAGACGTACTTCGCGCGGAACATGCAGGACTACGCCACGCTGGCCTATATGTGAGCCCCTTCCACACTCGCCTACCTGCACCAGCCTTGCAAAGCAAAGGCAAATTGTGCATGCTGTACTGGGTGTTGGCGTGCAAGACTGAATACTTTATTTTGTAGGCCTAACTCACTAATAAGGCTGGTATTTTCATCCAGAGCAACTTAGATTTAGTCATTTATGCAGCTGGGTATTAAGCTGAAAAGGTCTAAGTGATGTATTTGCATCAAGGGTAGTTCCCAGTAGTGCATCTCCCGGGAACTGAATCTATAACCTGCCTCTTCCAGTTTCAAGCCCACAGTCCTAATCACTGCATTGCACTGCACTGTTGCACTGTTGACATACAAGAAAGCAGTGTCCAGACATCCCACTATAACGCCATGACATTACACATCCCATACTAAAGATGCTGACACTCACGCTTCTGTTATTGTCTCCTGTTGGGCTTGATCTTGTCACTCTCTCCTTCAGTATCCAGTATTTCCAGTACATCATCTACGGTCTGGCTTCCTTCTTCTTCCTGTACTGCATTGTGCTCCTGGCTGAGGGCTTCTACACCACCAGTGCTGTGAAGCAGACCTTTGGGGAGTTCAGGAGCACTGCCTGCGGCCGCTGTCTCAGCACCACGGTCAGTAGGGGAGAGGAAGGAATTGGGGAGGGGATGGAGGAGGAGGTTAGAGCAGGATTGGTCAGGGGTGGCCAGTGCGTCTGCTGTCAGTTTCGAGCGTTTAACCCTTGCGCTATGCTCCTGTCCTGTGCAGTTCATCGTGGTCACCTACATCCTGGCCGTCATCTGGCTGGTGGTGTTTGCCTTTTCCGCTCTGCCCGTATACTTCTTCTACAACATGGCCACGACTTGCCACACCATCAACATCCTGACGGAGACCTCCTCCAGCATCAACCAGCTCTGCATGGATGCCAGGCAGTACGGTAAGACCACACAGCCAGCTCTCTGATCTACAGGGGACATCAGCAGCTCCTGGAACGTGGAAGAAGATGCCAGTTGATAAGCTAAGAGACATGCATGCTCTTAAAATCGGCTGTCAGTTGCTCTTAGTTGTAAAATGCAGAATGTCTGAAACTGCTGTGCAATGGGGGCTCTATGAGTGCAGCATGTCAGCCAACAGCAGTGCTGGATTCACTGGACACAGGTGGGCACACTGCCACCCATCCTCTGCTGGTGAACCCGTTGGGTCCGGGACTGATTTTAGGCTTCTGTTTTCTCCAGGACTGCTGCCCTGGAACGCCACACCAGGGCGAGTGTGTGGCATGACTCTGGTGGCCGTGTGCAAAACCAAGGAGGTGAGAAAGTCTTGCATCTTGCACTGGCTTTACGGTTTCGGCTCAGCCAAAGATCCGTTAGGAGAAGAAAAGGCTGTTTGAGTATCGCGCCACTGGTAAGAGGGAGGTTTTTAGCTAATGGGCCTTTCCACATTTTGACCTGTCCAGGAAATGAACACCTGCTTTTCATGGCTTCTGACGATCCTGGCTTCCGTAGTCCATAAAATAAATTAACAAAGGAGTGACCCCAAAGCTATACTGACCAAAGGGGCTGTGGAGAGCTGTGGGATCCAGTATTCCAGCTTGTGTTCACAGCAGCCCAGGGCAGAGCATGTTCCTGTGCTGACAGCACTGTGTTTGCAGTGACGGTGCTCTCTTATTGTATTTTTCAGTTCTTCCTGACCTATGACCTGTACGTCGCAGCCTTCACTGGAGCTGGGGCCACCCTCCTGGCGCTGGTGAGTTGGCAGTGTCACCAGGACGGGGCACACAGAACCAGGGTGCACATCTGACTGGACCGCTGATAGGATGATTAAAGAGCTCGCGCTCCAGTGCGAAACCCCTACAGCAGAGAGCTCAGGCTCCCTTGGGGTAACATATACTGATTCACTGCCTGCTGCAGGGCTCCAGGTAGGCCTACTGCAGTTTAATATTCCAGGTCAGCTTTAGCTGATTTCTAGGAAGAAAGACCTGGCAGTCTAACTCTCTCAGATCCGCACAGCTGCAGCATGGCATGGAGGTGTCCCTTAAAAACCTTGGTGACATGGGAAAGGGAGTTTCCTTGTCTATGAATGACACATTCTTTTAATGTAGGGGAAAAAAAGCATTAAGCCAAAATAAGAAACAATACTGAACAGAATAAGCTACAGTAGGCTCCCGACCCTACAGGGAGAGCTCATCCTGCCAACTGGGGTAATCATCATGTGACTTTATTGATGAATCGTGTGAGATGGACACTTTTGGCAGCAGGCAGGGTCTTTAACATTTAAAATATGTGTTCAGTAGCCTTAAATTAGTATTGGTCTGCCTTGGTTCTCCAACTGAAATAGGGTTTTCTGGTCCTCCCCAGACAGCCAATTATGTGGTTAGGTATTGCTTTGAATGATGCATTAGGTTTTACATTGATAGAATATGACTGGAATTCAGTCTGTATGAAATATTTATATTCTGAGTAATTCAGAAATCTATTTGGTCTTGAACTAGAGAAATAGGCTTGTGGTTTGTGAAGCAGAGGGATGGCGTCGCACACTAAGCCACCAGGAATCAGCTTGTCCGTTTCAGGCCTCATAAAGATGATGTCATTGAGGCTGAGCATGACCTGTACCATCACTTATTCACAATCTGCATACAGTATTTTTTATCAGCAAACGGTTATTCCTTAAAATGCATTTTGTGATGAACACTGTGTCAGAACAGGTTGTCTCAGAAAATGTTTTCACATTAGTCCTATAATAGTAATAAAATAATATTGAAAAGGCAGAAGTTTTAAAATCACTTAATTGACCTTTGGTGAGCCTTCTGGCTGGGCTCAGTGTAGGTCATTTGGTATTCCTATCATAGTGCATCATTGGATTTTTGTCAATTTAATTCAGTCTCCTAATCCTGGTCCTGGTGTCCCACACGCACACACACCTGTTGGTTTCTGTTCCAGCCGAGCCCTCAGTGACACAATCAAGCCCTTCATTGACTTAATAATCAGATCCATTTGAGCTGCTTGCTCCCCGCTCTTCAGCAGCTGGGTTAGAGCTTTCACCGCTGTGTCTCACAAGGGCAATGCAATCCCAAACCTGTGACTGGAAGCAAAATGCAAATATTCCATCGAAGCTACCTTAGATCAATTAAGGCTGCGATTATCTAAAGAAGGCGGGATGGAATGAAAACCAGCTGGTGTGGGGGGGTCACAGGGGAACCACGGATTATATCCGCTCAGGGGGCGAAACCACTGTAAAGTCAGCACAAGTGCTTAAAGGCACGCAGGTGCGGATCTCACCCCCTTTAAATTGAACTTAATTGCTCAGTTCCACATGGGAACAGTCTAGATCCTGGCTCAAAGGGACTGTGCAGGAGGCTACAGGAGACACAAAGGGACTAGGAACTGTGCAGGTCTGCAGCGCTTGGAGATCAGGATTGCCCACCACTGAGCGGCTGTTTCTCTTCTCCCCCACTCTCTCTCTCTCTCTCTCTCTCACTGTCTTTCCTGTCTAGCTGACCTACATGATCTCCACCACCTATAACTATGCCGTGCTGAAGTTTCTGGGCCGAAAGGGGATAGGCACACGGTGTTAGCCTGCACCCCCCCACCCCCGACCTCTTCCTCGTGCTCAGCTCTGCTTCTTTGTGTGTCCCCCGCCCCCCCGCCCCCCCCCAGTCAAGGCCTGTTGGAGCCCCACGGCCGGAGCATGATGAAACTCTTCCGCCGCCCAGTCCTTGTGCCAGAGCAAAAAAAAACCAAACGAACAAAGGTGAATGGATGCAAGGCTCACGGATTCTCCCAGTGGGGAAAATGAAAAGGGGGTGTGAAAAGCACAGGCGAGCGTGGCCCCCAGTCTTCCATCAGTGTAGAGTTGAATACAGCTCCTCCCCCCGACACTCAAGCGCTTCACTCTCTTGAATCCCAGAGAAAGGGGTGCGGTAGTGGGAGATTCAGACAGGCCGCTGGCTTCCTCTTTTGTTTTCAGACGAAGTCCGTTCCTTTTTTTTTAAAAAAAAAAAAGAAAGCTGCTTATTTTGGTTTTAATAAAAAAAAAAACTTAAAACAGTGTAACCTTGAAGCTTTTTGGTCATTACGTTGGTTTCTAAAACGGTGAGCTGGGGAGGGTAGCGGCAGGCAGCTGGGGTGTGGGGTGTGTATTTCTGCTCACTCTCTTTCTCCAGCTGGCCGCTGTCTGTCGGGTCACTGCTTTGAGGGGCGTTCGCAGGCACTAGAGACCGGACCGCTGTTGATGCGTTGCATGGCTAACCTAGAGACGGTGGTTACCGTAGCATCACAGTTGCTATGGTGCTAGACCGCCCTGTGCTTACTTGCATTTAGGTCAGGAACCCCTTCAGCAGAAGAGTTCCCTTCTCTCATAATTCCTGGGAGCTCTTTTAAAATCCAGTGCAAAACCAAACACCACACGTTTCCAAGTTAACCCATGTGGAAGTGAAGGCCTTTCTGACTAGATGCCAAAACCTGATTCTTAAATCCCACTTCCTGTCATTCTGAATTCTGAATTTACTCATCTTTGAATGTTTGAATGTTCCTGACCGGTCTCATTTCCAGTTCAGCATGTTTCAGATCTGCATCAGCACCTGTCTGTCTCTATAAAACACTGACTCCCCTCTGCTTCTTCTGTTCTGTCTGCTGTGTTCTTAATGGCTCAGTGTTTGTGCTGTTTATCACAATGAATTCAATTTGTAAAGCAACTCGGTTCTGTATCTTTTGTAAGGTGCTGTCTAAGGGGGTAAGGTTAAGCAATAGTCTTACTTACCCCACGTAAGAAACAAAAAATGGATTTCTATACTAAGCAAAAACAATTTAGGTATAAAACGAGAGCATCCTATATATGATCTAATGTGTTGCAATTAAGCTGTGCCTTTTATGTGATTGGAGGGTTTCTTCTCATCAGAGAGGGCTGAGGGTGACTGTCAGCTGGTGGGTCATTTTGTGGTTTTGTCAAGAGGAAATGAGACAATAAAAGGAGGTCAAAGCTTTTAAACCTCATAAGGAGCTCTCATGCTGCTTTTGTGTTTTAGTTGCAAGTTGCAAGGAATCTATCAAGAGTGCTCCCATAGTGTCGTTTGAGTGAGCTGTTCGGAATCTGGGCCTTGTTGATGGGCAGCAGAGTGGTGCGAGTGATAGGACTAGTGTACTCTGACCACTGACCAACACCATCACCTGGCCATCCAGTTTGCCTTCCAGCGATGTGTTGAGTGTCCCAGCGACTGTCTCGCAGAAAGGGGATTTTAATGCCGCAGGTGTGCAGAGACAGAATGGGATAGCTCATGCTTGCTCTAGCAAGCCTGAGGACACAAGTGGGAACCATGCAGATGGTCCATTTCAAACCAAGAACAGGAGGCCTTTCTTTAACCAGAAGTTTGTCAGAGCCTGGCACAAGCCATCAACTGTGTTGTTGAAGCCTGTGTCCAGCTTTTTTCAGGAAACAACTGGATGAGATCCTGGGTTTGATTGACTGCTGAGTACTAAACAGTCTCAAGGGGCCATATTTTCTCCTCTCATCTGTAACCGTTATGTTTTTCTGATTATTTGCACAACACTTCTGTGCCAGGAGTTATATCGCCTAGCAGTTCACAGCCGGCAGCCCACTGAAGCTCAGCCGGTGTGAGCCTGGTCAGTACCTGGATGAGAGACCTCCTGGGAAAGCTAAGGCTGCTGCTGGAAGAGGTGTTAGTGGGACCAGTAGGGGGCGCTCACCCTGCAGTCTGTGTGGGTCCTCATACCCCATTAGTGACAAAACAAAGTGCCAACTTTTGAATGAAACCTAAAGCTGAGGTCCTGCCTCTTGGTGGTCAATAAAAAAGCCAGAGCATTTGTCGAAAAGAGTAGAGGTGTACCCCCGTCCACCGGTCTTGAGTGAATTTCTCTCCCTTGCTTTTACCAATCATGGTCTCCTAATTATCCCCATGTCTGAACTGGCTTCATCACTCAGTTCTCCTCCCCACTGAGCGCTGGGGTGTGGGGGGCGTGATAGTGCACATTGGTGGTGGTAGTGGGATTCCCAATTGCCTGTAGAGAGCCTTGAATGGAGTGTGAAGAATGATTAGGATTGTACTGTGTGCTACCCTGCCGTTCTCTCCCCAGATCAACTGCCTCATGAGTCTCTCGGCGAACCAGGCACATGTGAAGGACCAGCACAGGCTGCGAATGGGCACCTTTCTGACCACGGATAAACTCCAGCTAAAGGGTGTCCCAGAGGGCGATGTGGGCAGCCTCCACAGCCCCTACCCCCCACCCGAAGAGACCCTGTAATTCAGAAAGGGGTGCAGAGGTGCCTTTCCGGTACACTGCAGGGGCCTGCCTGCGCCTTGTCTTCTTAGGGGGAGGAGGACCAGTGCCGTGATGCACTTGTACATTCTAGAGGGAGACATCTCTATCTCCCTTATAGGGGATTCAAGCAGGAGGTAAAGGCCCACATGTGCTGCTTTTCCAAACGTTAACACTAGGTGGCAACAGAGGACACATTCTTTTAATTTCTGTAGTACCTTTTTTTAAAAACGTAATATATTGTTTCCTTATTGTTTTGTTTAAGGCCTATGCAGACTGAAGCTTATTGTTTATTGTTGTTGAGGCTGGCCAATGCAGTTAGACAAAAATTTTGAGTTGAAATGGAAAAACATTTAATTTTCACTGTGCTGAAAAAAAAAATACAGAATAATGTGCCGATTTTTATTTAAAAACTCCATTTCCTGAGTGTTACTGTTGGCATTTACGTCCCAGATTCACATGTAGTAGACGTCTCATAGTCGTGTTAGCACCTTGTGGTCTCACCTGCTCAGCTCTCAGAAGTTATGCGAGACTGGGCTTGGCTAATCCTGATGTGGGAGACCTTCAAGAAACCCCAGGCTGCAGCTCCAGTGGTGCTGGTGGTTCAGTAGGTGGCACTCTTCCGTTTAGATTACACTTTCCACGCCTGTGCCCCAGCTTGGTGGCTTGGGACAGTTTGCTGAAGATGATGCCATTCATCAGGTGACATGTTAAACCAAGGGCTTGCCGAGCTGATTAAAGATCAGCAAAGATCCTATGGTACCGTTCTCAAGAGTGGGGATGTTAACCCCAGTGTCAGTCATGTCTTCAACAACACGGCTGGGCAACCATTTCTATGCTCCTGAAACCTCTCTGGCAGAGGAAGTGTTCTCCTGTTCTTGGTTTAAAATGCAAATACTCTCGTGTCCTCTGGCTTATGTTTCGCTGGATCTAATGAAATGGAGAAACTATCCACCTTCCCCATGTCCTGCACACCCACAGCATAAATCTCCACATTCTGCACGACACACGCGGTGTGATGCCCCACACTCTCCGGACAGGCAAAGCCTCCCTGCAGTTGCCCTTTGGTTCAACAAGTGTAACAATTTCTCATCTCCAGCTATGCTGGGGGGGCTGCTGGTGCAGATTGGCTCCTGCCCATCACCCTGGTCTGGGCTGCACTGCAGTGATGGATGAAACAGATCCCCTTCTATAGCTAAAGGCCACCCAGTGCCTTCAAGATGAAGGGCACTGGGAACCTCAGTTCTAGTCTGCTTGGGTGAATGGGTTTATTTTTCCAAATGACAAAATGTCAAGTTAAATCCTCTGATGCTCCGTATTGCTGATTCACAGGACTTTGCCTGTTCTGTGTCCTGATCCATTTCAAGATCAAGACTACAAAGTACTTGAATTCTATCTTAATTCGAAGAATTACCTAATTAAGGAAAGTCTGGATGATATACAGGCACTCGATTATATTGGAAAGTCTAATAATCGTGGACACCCTTGTTCGCAGAGAGCTAATACAGGATCCCGTGCAGTTTAATTTCAATGTGAAAAAAGGCATGTACAGTCCGATTCCCAACCCTGATAGTGGTAATCTCAGTATTTTATCTACCTGATCTTAAATCTTTCTTTAATTGATTTCATTACCATCATCGTCTTCAGCTCCGCCTTTCAAGTTAGCAGTGCAATGGTAAGGGAACTTAAAATGGGGTGTTTGGTAATCAAAAGAAAATGACTAGGTATTTTTAGTTGAGGAAGGGATTAAACTACGCAACGAGTAGAAGAACTTGCTGTGAATGAATACCAGTAGCAGGAGAGGGAAGTCCTCTTTTACACTATCTTAATTATTTCACAGCGCAGAGTATGTCCCGTCCCGAGCAGTGGAAACACCTGCTGGCTTCCGAACCATCCCTGTTCTTAGCTCTTTAATTAGTGTAATTGCCTGTCTTACGCCTCCCTCTATGTTCAGAACGTTAAGCATACACACTCTTGTTTCATCATCTTTTAAGCCTTTAGCTGTAACAATGTTCAAATTAAAACAAGAAACCCGAGTGAAGATCTGGGAATTTTGCAAGTGCGCAGCCCTACAGGAAGATGGGACAGTAGCTTCAGTTCACTGCTAACAAGATGGGGAGGCGAGACGAGAAACAGGGAAGAGAAACACCAGGTGCGGTTTGGATTCTGTATTTTATTATTTCCATTTTCAACAGCATTCATTCAGTTTGTAAACAGAGTCTCTTCTTCCTTAGTGCAATAAACCGTAAACACCTCCTCTGTACCAGGTTCAGCTCTGGGCCCTGGGCCCAGGAAACAGCAATTTCTCTGCAGGAAAGGTGAGGGTTCACAACGCAGCCACAGAAACCCTGTACCCTCAGCCCCGTTCACTAGATTTAGCTAGATGCAGCTTTCTGGGTCAGATTTGATATAGCGGTGGTTACACACTCATTATAAAAGCATCGTACGTTTGAAATAAAGTCCGATACAACCAAGATACCAGCCACAAAGGAGGGCAGGCTGACGATTTTTTCCCGTAACATTAAGTGTATCCTCACACACCCACTAAGCCATGCCCCCCACCCATGCCACTCTGCACAAGGGCCCAAGCACTGTGCCCAATACCGTTTGTGTTTGTGCCTGCTCCTTTTTGTGCTTGTTTTCCCATACATCCTTGCTGTACCTTAAGGCAGCTCCTGCTACCTCGCTGCCCTGCGGCCTCTGAATGAGTTGTACAATTAGAGATCAAAGTCTGGCTGTGGAAAGCTGCAGGATGTAAGGACACACTTGGCAGTACTGAATTATACACGGAGTTCAGCAGTGGGCTACAGGATAACCATGTACTGTCATTAACTCTACAATATGCAATTAGTTAATTTTCCTCTATCCTGCAAGAGCCACACATTGTCACATACTTCAGAGAACTCAAAGTTCGCAATACCATCGTAATGACGTACCATTAAATCCCATTGGCTAGGATAACATACATGTAACATACAAAATGTACCGGAAATCGCAATCTAAAAATAAATATATAAAAAGATTTGGAATGTGAGCTCTTCAGTGTTAATTTCAACTAGGTCAATCACTTGATACCCCTTGTACAGCAATATAATAAGTAAAACACAACAGGTCATGTCCCTCACTGTACTGAAAGCTTCTTAGCACAGGCCAGTCCACCACGTGGACAGAGCCGGTGTCTTTCCATGATTCAGATGATTTCTGAAAGGAACAGAAGTATCCCTTCCATTTGACAATGGACACCAGCTTCACGCAGTGTTGGTACAATACTGCTATTGTCCATTGTGCACATTAGTGCCACCTTGTGGCAGCTCTTGAAGAGTTCTGCTCCAGGTGGCAAAGAGACATTCAAACTGCTTGTTTTCTCATCACACACTGGGCATCACTTCTGCAAAAATGACCTACTTACACGATTCACAGTCTGTAACAGATTTAAAGAACAAAACAAAGTCTTAGGTTGTAAATCCAGAGTTTTAAACTTAATGCAAACTGTAACAAGTACTTTTTAGTAAGCCATTGTGCGCTTTCAGTGCACAGCAAGTAGATTATTTCACATAATTACCACTGCTCTCTAATTACTGTAGTATTATAACACTGTTACTACACTATTAATACACTGTGCGCTTGCTAGCTTCAGCCCTGCTTAGACTGTGAGGTCACATGCTACATTGGCCAAATATTCTCTTTCTTATTATCTAACTTTGTACTTTGACATCAAGCCCAGACAGATTTGAACCCACCAAACATTTGATGGTAATATTGACACAGCAGCTGAGTTCAAAACAGTGCAGTGTGTATGGTTTCAGTACCAATGCTGAGCAGCAGGGGGCGGTCTGCATAGCCGTGACCACAGATTTAAATATAACACATGGTTTATGGCCAAAGAGCCAAGTAACACTGTTTCTGCAGTGACATCCAGGCTTCACAGTCGCACTGACAAGAATGAGTTTCACAGACCCCGATTCATTCTGTTCTTGAGTTACCTACCTATTCTACATACTACACAGAACTTATTCTCACCTAACATTTTTAAGGGGAGTCAGAACTGGTGTTAATCAAGGATGGGGACTGTGAAACTAGTCCAGAGAGTCTTATTCAGATTTGAACTTGACACAGTTTTACAGTTATCCCTTTTGGTGAAAGCCCTCACTACTTATGGGTGCCCATTAGTACACTAACAGCACACTGCTGAAACAGCTGGCATCCTAGAGAATATCAGTATCAGGCTGGTATGTGAAGCAAAGACTGCTATCAGCTATTCAAAACCAGGGGAGGATAAATCCCTTCTTGCAGGAGGCTCGCTGACCAGTACTCGAAAAATCCTGCCATGTTCACACCCATCAAAAGGTTCTACCATTTTAAGCTTTTCTGTAGACCCCATCTTATAACAGGGAAATACCAGTCCTCCCCTGTCTCTCCACAAAACTCCTCAGAAAATAATATGAGCCAATTGTGCCAAAAGCAATTCGAGAAACCGAAGAGAACTCGAAACAATGAGTGCGGTTAACACTCGTTCTAGAACTTTTCCTTTTCATGCTCTTGAAACTGGATTCACCCAGGGTGCTTTTTTTATTAAGGTAATCATCTAATTTTACCAACCACGCTGTGAAGACTGTGCACTGCCAGGCCATGGAACGTACACAGGCCAGTGGGCACACAAGGAAGAAACTCTCACGGGCCTGTGGGTCACCCATACGCGCTCCAAACCATTAAGGGTCATCAGCGCACAACTGTCTGAAGAGGCCAGATGGCTATATACTGAAACCACCCCCGCTTTGAAAGCCTCTGTCTTTCCTTACTTAAAAAAAAGCATTTTAAATCAGGCCCCAGCAAGTTGGTGTCTTTTCAGAAAAGAACAAGGGTATGATACACCTAGTGCAGCAGAAAACGCAAATCCTGAAGCCCTGGAAAGCTTCTCAGACTTTGTGCACAGCCTGCGGCGATGCCAGTGCCAGGCGGCTGTGTTCTGCACCCCTGCAGCTGGTGGCACCGGAGGAAGTCAAAGATGGCATCACCCTAGGTGGTCATAGAGCAGAATCGGCATACAGGAAGCAGATCCACCAGTTTCACTTTTGGGTCGACAGGGATAACTGTCCACGGGGCGGGGGGGGTATGAACAGCATTTTGCTTCAAAACCACAGTTGCTCACCATTTTCTAACAGGAAGAGCAAAAGTTTACAAGGATAGGTCTAGACTGGAAACTGACGCAGGTCTGAAGGAGAGGAGAAACTGGTTTGTTTGTTTTCCACTGAATGCCAAGAAAGGAAGAGTAAAGGGAGGAAATTGTGCATAGGAATGGACATGAGAGAGGACAAAGACCGCCAGGGAATATCTGCCAAGTTAATGGCAGTGGTGGAGACTGCCCCCCCACCAGACGAGAGCCCTGTGCGTTTGTGAAGGCCGATGAAAGTTCTGGCTTGTTCTACACAGCACGGCCTGTTCCATCCCTGACAGAAGCTCTGGCCATCCAGAAGAGCACTTACTCCGGTTTACAAAGTCTAGTTAGCAGAGTATAAAAGCACAGCAGCAAGTTTTAAAAATAATTTGTTCTTAAAATAACAAAAACACAAAACAACTGGGGCTGTTCGTAACCCATCCTCACAATAAATTAAACACAGAAAAGTAACGTACCGTACAAAGGCAAAAACTCTGTATCCCTTTTTAAAAATGGAAAAAAAAAAACGTCCCTTCTTTTAGAAAGTTTTCACCAGCCCTGAACGTTTTTCACAACTATCCCAAATCCCAGCAGCATTTTGTAAGCTCCGCACTTTAGTGCATCTGGAAATGAGCTGAAGCAACACGAAACAAAAGAGATATAAAGATCAAGCAGTAGTACAAAAACACAGCTCAATTCTCCCCAGCCCCGTTTGTCTCGATGACAGGATTCACACACGCACACACAGGCTCGGATCTATTCCCACTCTGGGGTGGGCACGTTACGTCTCGGCTTCAACAGGACACGACACAGAGATGGCAGGGCACTGGTGTTTTGGCAGGGGGCTGCTTTCTAAAGGCAGACCCCTGAACGGCGACCGCGAGGGAAGCTTTCTCAGGACCCCTCCAAAGGGAACGGGGCCTGGCCTGCCTCTCCAACGCCAGCTCCCACTCCCACTCCAACGGAGACAAACCACAAGTGATCCAGAAACTGAAAGCCCCAGGCTTTGTGGAGCTACTGGCCCTGGGTCCAAACAGCATGGACGAGAAGGAGCCCTCTGAGGAAGGGATGAAGGACGGAGCAAATGGAGCAGCTCCCATTTTTTGTGGTTTCCCTCCTATGACAGCTGACCCACGGGTGTCTCTCCATGGCATTTTTCACGTGACTGCTAGGGGCACGAAGGGCTTTTGGAGAGGGAGGGAAATGGGGCCTAAGGCCTGGGGCCGGGTGGGGTGGGTGTGGGAGAGGTTGGGGGGCTTAACAGCAGGAGCTGCGGGTGGGCTTGCGGTTGCCATGGAGATCGATGGCGCTGCCCAGCAGAGAGTGGTCCAGCTGCTCCTCGGCAGCCAGCACCTGCCGCACGGCCGCCTCGAAGGCCTCGCCCACGTTGGTGTCGTCCTTGGCGCTGGTCTCGAAGTACGGGCAGCCGCCGTTCTCCTGACACCAGGCCCGCGCCTCCTCCTCGCTCACCTGCCGGTCCTCCTTGTCCACCTTGTTGCCCAGCACCACGAAGGGGAAGCGCTCGGCGTCGCGCACGTCGGAGTAGAAGACGAACTCCTTCTTCCAGCAGCCCAGGTTGCGGAAGCTCTGCGCGTCGTCCAGGGCGAAGGTGAGGAGGCAGCAGTCGGCGCCGCGGTAGAAGGGCGTGCGCAGGCTCTTGAAGCGCTCCTGGCCCGCCGTGTCCCAGATCTGCAGCGTGACGAAGCGCCCGTCCACCTCCAGGTCGCGGTTCAGGAACTCCACGCCGATGGTGTGGAAGGACTGCGAGTCGAAGCGGTCCGTCACGTAGCGGTTCATCAGGGAGCTCTTGCCCACACCGCCGTCGCCCAGCAGGATGACCTTCAGCAGGAGACTCTTCCCACTCATGGTGGCAGAAGAGGGCGTTCTGGGGTTCTGGGGTTCTGGGGCTCACTCACACCCGCCTGCAGAAAAACACCCCACACAACCTACCAGTCATCCTGGTTTCTCATTTTTCTCCCCCCTCCCCACTGGTAAGCGTTATAGGAGCATAAAGGCACGCAAGTCCAGATTCAGAGACGGTTTCTTCCCACAATGCCGTCAGATTACTGAACTCTACCCCTACCACTGGCTCACACTGATATGCTTTTTTTTCCTCTAGTTATTTAACTTGTTGTTGCTGCCACTGTTCTGTGTTTATGTTTTTGGCGTTTCCTTAACGTCCCTGTATTGAAGCAGGCATGCAAATAAGCATTCATTTCATTGCACTTGTGCATCTGACAATAAACTGAACCGACTGAAAGGAGCGCTCAGGACGGGCCCCCCGGTGACGCCCACCCAGAACAGGCACTCGCTGCAGTCCGAGCTCCTCCTCCACAGTAAGTCAGTGGCGTCAAACGCAGTGCCTGCAGGGCCTGGTCTCTTCCGTTTTGTTTTTTTTGGTCCTATCCGGAGAGTTGAAGTGCTTGACTAATTAGACAAAGATTTTTCTTAAGGGCATTTACATTTCATTACTGAAAGAATGCACTTCATTAAAACTACAAATACAGATCAAACACCTTCAAGCCTGGCTAGAAGTATCAATAATTCTGCTGTTAATTAATTACACAAGCTGTTCTCAGTCATACAAGAATCAGAAGACCCCAGGTACTCAGTTTGACGCCCCAGCATACATTCAGCACTGTGATCACGGACATAAGAGTTGGGTTTTTGGAAAATAAAATCACTTTTGAAGATATCGTCATTAGGGGGCTGGCCAGTAACCTCCTTGGTGCTAGGAGTGAAAACAATGTGCTGTCTTTGTGCATGGCTTCAAACTCTGGCTTTTTCAATGGATTCACAAACCATGTGTTCTGAACAGAACTTTTCAGATGACTCTCTGAAAACATAGCTGGTTTAATACAGCTTTGTACCACAGTCTCATTCAGGGCCACCAAGTGCTGCAGCTCCTGGGACTGACTGCACTTAGATGCTGAAGTCCTGATTATACTCAAACACTGCGACCCAGGCGCCCCCAATCCTGGTTCTGAAGGCCCCCTACCCCTGCTCATTCCATGCCATCTGAGCTCAGTTACCTAATCGAGGCCTTCATTGAGTCAACAAGTTGTTTGAATCTGAATACCTTGCAGGTTCTACTCCAGGTTTGGGATCTTACTACATTTATAAAATGCAATAGTCAAAAGACAACTTCCAACATGTGCAAGACTTGAAAGCAACATGTGCAAGACTTGAAAGCAGTCCGGTTATGAATTCAACTAGGGGTTTTATTCTGTATCAGAGAGCAGGGCTGGAACGAAAGCCGACAAGACCAGAATTAGGAACCCCTGCTCTAACCCTGTGGCATTCAAGAAAATGAAAAATGGACTCAAAAGTCACTCAGTGCTGGTATCTACGTCAGTGGTTCCAAGCCCTGATCCTGGGGGTTTCCTGTAGGTTTTCATTACAGCTGAGCTCTACAGCTCCAGTGCTAATTGATTACTTCATCGACCTGCTTGCTTGTTTAGACTTTTAAGCAACTCATTTCTTCGGTCAGCCCTCAGGGTAAGAATACCCTGCTGTAGGAGGTCTGCTTCCACTGACTAGATGATGAACAGAAAGGCACACTGTATATCAGACACACCCAGAATGAGCGTTTTTTTTTTTCCTTCAGCAGGGGCTCAGTGTGATTGATTAGACCCGAGGCGACACGCCTGTACGAGGGCAGTTCTGAAATTCAGATATCTCGAACGGGGTTGAGCCGCGTCTCACCTCCCGTTTGACCTTTTAAGAGCTGAAAGCAAAATTACAAATAATCCCCCGAACAGATGGAAAAACCGATATCGATGAGCTAGCCTGGGATTAAGAACTGAAAAAAAAAGACAACCACCCATGAGACACACGGCTGGTCCAGGGCTAGGCTCTGTGCGGACAGAACCACGTTGTGTTTAAAGAGGAACCCGCGGGCACAGACGGATGAATGTCAGACGTGCAGAATAGGGATGTGAAACGAGAGACGAGTTCCGAAACCCGCATCGACAACACAAGTAAATAACCGGATGAGTTCCGAGTATGGGGCCGGCTGAATCAAGCAAGTTTGCAAGCAGTTTTTTTTTTATTATCATTAATTCACACTGTCGGACAAACAGAAGTTCCCCCACAGTGTTCCCATCTCGGCGCCTGCACACATAGCCCCGCTTGCGGGGCACTATTTGGCAGGAAGGAGCCGGCTTCACATTGCGCAAGCTCCTCCTGTCATGAGTTTACTTACGCTCACTATTTTACTGGCACGCTAAACATTAATAATGACAGCAGCAACACAGCCAGCTGCCGCACTCTGGGCGAGCTCACCCCAGCCCCGAAACACAAACGCATTGTGTTCTGCCTGCAGGCAACGCAACTCTGGTGCATTTCTGCAAATCTCTTGACATTTTCTTTTGCACCAGACTGCATTGTGCATTCGTACAATAGCTTTAAAATCTATCAATCTGGGACGCCACATACACAGGAGAACCGGTCCAATATCCGACAGTAAACGTTCACTTTCGGTCACTATAGCTAGGACCCGTGACGGTAGGGTGATTTACCTCATCCTGATCAGACCTGGCGCGACCCACGTCTCTCTCTCTGTTGTCTCCGCACTTCTCGCCGAGATTTAAACGCGCACTCGCAGGTGCCGCGCGTCTCCGTCCTCACCTCCGTGACCGTGCGCGCTCCCGAGCCCCACTGGGGGCGGGCACGTCGAGTGAGGGGTTGTCGGGTTTTTCGCCTGGTGGCCGAAAGGAGGCTGGGTTGTGGTGAAACTGGATCGGGAAATGTATCCGTGCGCGACATAAACATAATTCTCTGGGATTTACGGAACGGCGATGTAGGTTTCTAAACATTTATGGTCGACCGAGAGGTTCATTTTAAATATTCAAATGTTTCCTCCAGCCAAGCGTAAAAATAAATCCTATTTCAGTGGTTAATCCCCCCTCTTCCCAGTCACTTCCTGCACCACGCCAGCGGGTGGTCAGACGTACAGTATACACTACACACTACACACTACACACAGTCGCCTCCAGAGGCCGTCCAAGCAATTTTTATGCTTCCTTCTGGAAACGGTAGGATGCATATTTTGGGTATCTTTATGAGTTTACTCGTTTCAAATGTATCTGTCACTGTGTGTGTGTGTTTTTTTATTGAACTCTGTGCTGGTCAATCTGCGGGAGGGATAGCGTCTCGTCCAGTGATGTGATGTGAGATGTGTACGTGGGCATTAAAAACGGAAACGGGGGAAATTTCCCAGCCGTTTTGCATCCACGATACCCGCAGTTTGGAAAATGTTTTGTTTTCTGTTGTACAAGTACACTACGGGGACTCGGTTTTCTGTGCGGTACTATGGGGTGTGTTTTAAGTTTCTGGGCTTCGTCCTGTCCACACGCTTAGCTAAACGGGATATTCGAGACATGAGCTTTGCTTTCGTGCAACGAGAAATGTTTATTTGCTTTACCACAACAGAGAAAGTGCAGTCATCGTCTTACATTTTTATCACTCAAAGAATTTCCCGGAATAATAATTCATCCAGGCTCCTGTCGTCCAAACGTCTCTTACAAAAGTTTTTATTTTTATCATAATGTTATTATGCGTTGTTTTCTGTTTAATTTTAGTTTTTGTGAGTCTAATTTTTTAAAAGAGCTTATATAAAGTATAAAGAGTATAAAGAGCTTTGAGTTGTTTTGGTATGATATTCGTTTTCTCCCTGTGATTTTAAGATAAGACTTTATTGATCCCGAAGGGAAATTCTCCTGCAGATAAACCCAGACTACTCCACTATTCTCTTCCTTGCTTTCCTCATGCTTCCTTACTGCAGTCGATCCATTCTAGCTCTGTCCCAGCTCCATTTCAGCCCACCTCAGCAGTGTGCTTCTGCCAATCCTCGGTCCCTTATCTCTCCCTAAACCCCCTCCAGCCTTCCATTTCTCCTGTTCTGACACACTTTCTGTGCCCACAGTTTCTCCACCCTCTCTGCTTCATGGGGGAACGAACTACCCACAGAAATCAGGCTCTGCCCAACCTTCAGTCTGTTTAGACAGCAGCTGAGATCTTCAGACTGGCAGTGTGGTTAGCTTACAACTCTTATTCCCTGTAAACACGGAGGCCATACCATCAGGCTGTGTTTATTGCTGCTTGGTATTGTCAGGGTCATGGTTCCTTTAAAAAAAACCTCAGCACTCAGGATACAGCAGTACAAAGTAAATTTGTTAGTTTGTTCCACATCAGAAAGGCATATGGCGATTCAAAATTCTACAGACTTGATGCCTTTCTGCACATCATGTCTAAGTATTTCCTAAACTGATCAAGATCCACAGTCAGTGAAGGTGGCACAGTTTTTTGTGGACAGCAGTTTCAAGGTCAGTTAGGTCATAACAAATATTCTTGTTGATTTTTTTAAGTTGCAAAAGGCGAGAGGATTGAACTAACAGGCATATACAGGCAACATGGAAGAGGACTTGATTAAATCCTGCAATTTAACCTAGTGCAGCATTTGCATCACAGTTCCACTTGAGTTAAGCCTTATTTTTCATTTTTATTACGTTGGGTGTACATGATGGTACACCTTCCCTGATATAAATTTCATATATTTCTTGTAAATCACTCTGAATTAAGTGTGATGAATTCAGACCCAGTCACATATTAATCACATATAATAATCACAATCGTATATTTCCGACTGCCCATCAGTAATATATAAAGTATAAAGTAATACAGGCTAGGACTGTTCTTTGTACTGAGAAAAAGCAGACCTGCTGTTGCCTCAAATTTCAGGAGTTTTAGAGGGTAAACATTTTTTCAACACTAGGGCATGCAAGTTCACGTGGGTTCACTAGGACACACATGTTCACGTGGGTTCACTAGGACACGACAGCGATAGACCAAATAGAGTCAGAAGGCCGCCCCTAAGTAGAGTGCTACTCCATCTCTGTTGACGTCCTGAAATCTAGGAGTGAGT